TGTACAATACCCAGTACTACTCCGCATATTTCTATTTCCCAGTAACGTGTATATATGTCCATATATTTTAAAATATTATTTGAGTTCTAAGAAACCATAAGTAGATTAATATATTTACTTTCTCCCCTTAAAAAATGTGCTTGCCCCTTGAGCTCTTGCACTGGCACTTATCTGGAATAAATTAGCTTTTTTCACTCTCTGTTGTGACATTGATAATTCTGAAAGCTTATCTTATCTTTATGACAATCACAAGCTGTGTTGCTGTTGCTGCTGATTTTATTTTCTTGCCTTTTAATGTTGTTTCGATTATCTTGATAAATTACGGCCGCCGCTCGTGACAATCGAAGGACGTGTGTGATTGGCCCTGGCCCTTAGGAAAATAAGCCATTCGCACTTTTAATTGTTTATTTTTCAATTAAATACCACGCACTTATTTGAATAAATATGTATTTCACAACTAGGTGAATCACTGAGGGCCCTATAGATGAGAATTGGGGAAGATATAGCCATCGCTGTGGACCCCATAGGGGACTATATCCTACAGCTGCCATATCTCAGCTATACCAGTTGGCTTTCCTTTCTTGTTTTCTTTGAAATTAATATATCTTGGGGTTCACAAAAATATTAGATACCTTGTTGGCTAATCTATCTATTTTTAAACCTTTGCATCAACTGCAGGCAGGTAATCTTTTAATGGCCCGGCTGCTATTGTTTACAAAATGAATTCGAGTGATGCACAGCATCATGACATTCTTGTGAAAATGGAAAGTAATGACCGAGTCGGTGGATAATCTATCTGAGGGGGTGCGATCGTTGTTACAAAGCCAACTATGAGTCACGAGAGCGGTAATGGCGCGATTTCTTGTCCGAGTCAGCAGCTTTAGCAATTGTAACACCACTCCAACCTCTAAATAGGGTTTGTGCAAGGTCCGAGGTTCTCTTTCAAAATCGGAAGAAGCTTACAGAAAATTATGAAATATTTATGATCATGTTAGTCAGAGACGAGTGTCTCTATGGGAAAATTGTTAGGCATTCGTCATCATGAGGCACTTTGTTATTAATTATATATTTTCCGATGTATATATATGTCGTCATGAATGGCGTCCCAGTGTCTGTGGGAGCTTGGCCTTTGTTCTGGCTCTGACTCTGGCCTGCTTGTGGTTTCTGTTTCCTCCCTTTGACACTTTTTTTTATTAAAAATAAATTACGAAAAATTAACAGTCATCAAAGAGATTCCCTTGTCTGTGAAATTGTTTTGGTCTTTTGAGTTTACTTGCTGCCGTTCCCGGAATATATTTGCATTTATTGTGAGAGTATATACCTTGCTATATATATAATATATACGTGATTGGAATTGTAAAGTCCTTCTCCATCAATGATTCAAACCTAAAATAAATTAGAAAAGCTCTGTAATTTTTGTGAAATGTTTGCCAAACCTGGGTGGTAAAAAAAAGATACTTCTAAGGCATTCCATGCTCGTTAACTGAAACATCATACCCCACACTTTTCCGGCACCTCTTGGAAAAAATTCCACATGACAACAAGTATGTGTGTTTATATTTTTTTATTTATTTTTTTTTAAGCGCCAACCATTGTGGGCGAATGGCAATTCCAAGTCATTGCTGCACTTTAGCGCCAGTTGGGAGATAAAAATGTAGGTTTTGTGATAAAAACTTATAGAAGTTTCAACTCATAGTTGAAATGAGATACTTATATATAAAAAAAATATTAATGATTAACTTAGGGGACTATTTTAGTCGTGACCTCAAAACCTCTAAGATTAGAGGGCTAAACTCTCAATATGATACATTTTTTATTAAATATTGCTTCGTTTTTTTTTTTGTTTAATTAATCATTTTAGGTTTGTTTCATTGTAATCCAAGAATTAAATATTTTAAATTAATTTTGTTAACTAAAAATATAAGATAAATGCTTTAAATGAGTATGCTTTGAGATAAAAAATGATGAATTCCCGTACATTGTTTCTTATTTCAAATTCATAAAATTATAAAAACAATTAATCAATTAATAATGTAAATAAAAAATTCTATGAATAACTTACGGAATGATGAAACATCCTTTTGATGAAACACAACTGATGACAAATTCGTAATTATTAGATGACTCTAATGTTAATCTTTATCATAAGATAAAAAATACTTAATGAATTTCAATAAACACAAAACCACTAGAAACTAATTCACATTTAAAACCTTGTTTGTGTTACTAACTCTTAGTCATCAGCTCAGTTAATGGCCCATATTATTATTCACTTTTAAAACTAGTAACTGAGGTGGGCAGATCGGCGATTAAAAACCAGATCATGTCCATTAATGCCCAACAATATATCCAAGTGTCATTTGGCAATTATCTAGGGCAGGCTTGTAATACCCATACTATATGGTATATGCAATTTTCTCTTCTTTTCTGCATTTCCGCATTGCTGCCTCTAATTTCGTTTTCAATTAAAACACTCTGCCATTCTGCGGCAGATGCAACACTCGCCAAAGTTAATTAACTATTCATCTATGTGGCTATAGCTCTTCTTACTGCTCCATGGAACAAATGAAACGCTGAGTGATTGCTCTTCCATGTGCTTAGCTTGATGATGATCTGCCGACTGGGATGATGAGGGGGGAGGGGGGTATTGTTAATTAAACCTCAAACTAGAAAACAGATAAAAAAGCAAAAAACGGTTCTTGTACTGGTTGGTCTTGTACTGTTTTTCGACCAAGTTCAAGTATCTTTCGGTTGCGGTTGTGGGTGAGTTTCTTTGTAAAATGCTCAAGCAACCAGCACGTGCCTCCAAATGGAGCACATCGGATGCAGGGGAAGATGCAACGTTGATGATTCAACACAATTGCTCACTGGCAGTGGAGATTCTCGGGAATCATAACAATGTTTCCCGTGACACCTACTCCCACCTTAGGGAGTCTGGCTTCATTTTAAAAATAATTCCTTGAAAATATCATTAAACTATTCCCTTTTTATTTATTAAATATTTCAAAACCTAGTGCCTTATTGGGTTTCCTGCATAAATCTGAATACCTCCCCTAAAGGGTTATTCACAAAAAAGTGAGCTGCCTAACGACACTTGGCCATCTGTTGGGGAAAAACACACAAAAGTACTTGTCTTCTCCAGGAATAAAATCTGTGTTTGAAATGCCTGGCATGGCATGCAAGTCAACAAAAGTGCGCCCACACAGGACCAGGTTATTTCAAAAGAAATAAAAAATAAAAAAAAATAATAAAAACAAGTCCAGAACCAGACCGGAGAAGCACTGCTTCCGTTCCATGACCATGCTGGGTCCTTGGTTCGTGGCTTCAAGAGTCCTTAGAGAGTCACTGGCGTAAACGAGACAATGCCGATGAATGCACACGAAGAAAATGTAGGTCAAGTTATAGGATTTTTTAAAAGATATATCCCCCTTTAAAATGCAGGTATTTTTCCTCAGTGTAGATCCTCATCATTCCCCCCAACCACCCACTCCATTTTTGTTTACTTGTTTACTTGCGTTTGCACGCGTTAAACATTCTGGGATGCTTCAAGTGCAACAGCAGCAGCCAAGGACATGGCATCTTGACTTACAGACAGGTGTAAATTATGTAGAGTGAAAAGAAATGCCAGCAGAGACTGAAAAACACGCAGAAACAAAAGCTAAACATCATCCTATATGGAGGACTTTGATAAATGCTATGTACATACCTGCAGACAGATGCAGTCTTATTATTATGATTATGCCAAAGCACTCAGGGATAAAAATGAGGAATGAATGAGCGAAGCACTAAGAAAAATTATTAAATGTTATTAAAAAATTAAATAGACCTTCAAATTTAATAAAAATGTATCTGAAAAACTCCCTACTTTCAAGTAAGATCCTCTTAAGAGAACCTCTTTTTATTGTCTTTAATTTCCTTTAATTACTCCCCAGTTTTCTGAGTATTTGTTGACTTTAGCAACATTTTAATTTTAAACACACAACACGTGCTTACCCCTTTTGAATCAAGAAAGAGGTGTGCGGTGTGCTAACCAAAAATAACCACACACCATATCTTGTTTATCTTTTCATTCTGAAAGATACTTTAGGTCTGGGCCGCCTCACAGCCCATTGAGCTGTGCGTAATGGCAGAGTTTGAGGTTGATTTGTGGGCGGGTGGGTATGTTGGCTATTAATAATACTCTTCTAATATATGCCAATATGCCATAACACGCGACCGCATATTAAGGGTTTTTGTTGGATAATTATGGTATGCCTTTGTGTTGTTGGTTGCTTAATCAAATTATAGAAACAACTATAATTAGAGTGTTGGGAGTTTTAAAACCAGAATTTTAAAGTCTCTCTCTCTTTAGATATTTAAGCTTATAAAATATTTATGCCGTTATTAGCCTAAGTGGCTAAATATGCATTAGAAATCTGGGAAAAGGCCTCAATTGAAATAATCAACGCCATTTGCTGATGATTGGATGGAAAATGAACTCTGAAAGTCATGCAATGACTCTAGTAGTTCAATAGCTTTAGTTTCCTTCCTCAATGCCGTGTGTGTTTTATCTTTTTCTTTGATTTTTTTTGTTTTAGTTTTAGTTTTTTTTAGATCATAAAGCATCGATAAAAATTGTTGCGCCGGTCAATGCACGGCAGAGCAGAGTCGTTATTGTTGCATGTGCCACAGAAATAACGACCGCCGAGGAAAAGCATGTCGAAAGCTAAGCTACTAGTTGTAATAAAACAAATGCTTCAAATGTGGTCAGTAGCTAGAGTTTTGTGCACTCTAAGAAAAGAGTTTATTAAATTTATATATAATCTAGAGATATTTTAAGCATTTTTTCAAGTGTAAAAGCTTGCATGTCAGGCCTTCATTTCAATTGCAAATCGAAACCAGATACCAGTGACCCGGAAAGTATTTTTGAGGTTTACACCATTTTTTTTAAACCAAATTCTAGGCTATTTTTGTATAGTTTATTGGCCTTCATTTAAATCTTTTGATTTTATTTTTTTTAGGGTGCTGGCAAAGAAATTCGAGAAGCCATCGCTGATCCTTCCCCGGAGGTAACTGGAAAGGCCTGGGCGGCAGTGCTGCCGTTGGTGAATAAACTGAAACGCTGCTACGAACACTCCATGGAGCTGGACAAGATTGTGCCCAAGCTGCTGGGCCAGCTGGTGGGCGGGAAGTTGAATCCAACACAGCACCTGGAGACACAGCAGGCGCTGGTCAAGCAGCTGGCCGAGATCTTGGAGTTTGTGCTAAAGTTCGATGAGTACAAGGTGAGTGTTACATGTTCTTCCACCATATTGGGCGACAGAGGAACGCCCACAACCAACAAACAACATTAAATGTTGACTTCTTTACTGCCAGTTTGTCTGTTTGTTGGCCATATGTGGGTTCTGTCGACGACCAGGCCAAAACCCAAACCAAAAGCTAAACAAAAATCCAAAGACGAAGTCATGGCGCGCGTGGTTGCATTTTTAATTGATTCACTTTTTTATATATATTTTTTTTTGCTCGTCTGGGCCGAGTGACTGACTGGCTGACTAACTTGGCCGAGACGAGCGCGTGCTGGGGGCCCATTGATGAAAAATCTGCGGGCCACCAAGCATATGCGTGCTACAGTGAAGCACCAGAGGCACTTACGCACACGCAAGCCGGATGAAGTTGTAAAAAGCATAACTACTGACGGTCATACACCAGAGGTTAGGTTATTAGGATCTTTTATTTGTTTGATTTTTGAGAGGTTTCTGTAGATCATTCTCCACAATTTCGAGCATCACTTGAGCCACACCCTTCCAGGCAGGGTTGCCGACAGTCACCTGAACCATATAGGCTCCAGTGGGAAAGGGAGTTCTTCTCAGCATTTCATCTCTCAGGGTCAAATTTGAAACAATTATATCATTCTGGGAAATAAAAAGAGACTTTAAATATTGTACTCAGCTAAGATTATAATAAAATACTTGCATTATAAGGACAGCTATGATTGAGGTTCGAAAACTGTACCATAGTTTCGTAGAGAATATTAAACCAAGGGAACCGCTTGGGATGACGCATGTAATTGCAAAAATCCACTGTAACATTGTACATAAAGGGTCGATATCCATTAAACCATCTGAACAAGTTCAAGTTGATCTAAAAATGCTAAAAATGACCATTGAACTTTGAACTTTATTGGTTCTTTCTTACAAGCACTTCCTTCACTGGCAGTTGATGGACTTTCGCGTTAAGAAAAAGACCTATTTTTCCACGACCCAGCACCTTTAGTTCGCATCGGGTAAAGTCACAAAAGGCCTTATCATAGCTAGTGCACTTTATGTTGGTTAATTTGAACAATGAGTCAGATTTATGAACTAAAAGTTGTAATATTAAAACTAAGAGAAAGATACTAAGCAACCTCATTTTAAAGGCAACCAGATGGGACTAAAATGGGTATTTATTTGGAAATAGATTCGATTCAATAATTCTAGTTTAATGATGGGTAATTAACTACTAAAATATTCAGCCTCAAAAAGAGTTAATTAAAATAAAATAGAGATTACATTTTCGATTTAAAAATCACTTAGAGCACTCCTAAAAGTATTGCCTAGCTTCTAGGCCCTCTGGTATTTAAATATGTGAATGAACTGGCCTAAAGCCCACCTCACTTTGGCCCAAACACTTACTTACTGAGTGTGTCGGCTTATTGTCTACAAAATCGATTCATTTGTTGGCAAATCTGTGTGAATGGCGCATTTCCCATGGCTGGCTTCCCGTTTGGCGAAACTTTCATCAAATCGATTCAGTGGCGGGGACTAGGGAGTACGGAGGAGGAATCTAGGACAGCCAGGAGTTTGGGGCTACTGCTCTCTGGTGTCTACAATGATGATGATGATGATAATGATGATGATGTTAAATGCTGTAAACTGCACGTTCATTGTGTACTCAAAGTGTCAAAGTGCTGCCTGGTGCACAGATATATGTATATAGCTATGGAATAGTCGTGTCCCTATGTTTGTAGCTGGAAACGTGCCTCCCAACCAAGAGCTACTTCCGTTTCTTCATAGATTCCACCATTGTCTGAGCATTTTTAGTGTTTGCTGGAAAGTATGCTGTAAAATTTATTGACTTTGCTTGTAACTAGCTACGTTCTCACAATAGATAGTTAGATACTTTTATTAAATCTCAGTTGAGAATACTTAGAATAATTTTTTCATCCATTCCTCTTCGACAATATCCACCATAACTTGGGCTATACCTTTCCAACTGGGGTTGCCTGCAATTAATTGAAACATGTAGGAGCCAGTTGGAAAGGGAGTCTTCTCCAGCATGGCATCGTTCAAGACCATGTCGGCAATTATTAAATCGTGCTAGAAATGGTTAGATTTTGCTGTTAAATATCCTCTTTTTTTTATTAAAAAATACTTACATTGTAGGGGCAGCTGTGGTTTATGTTGCTGTAATTTAAAATAATTGAGTGAACTATATTGATCCAAGGATAACGCTTGCGGTTCTTCATATAGCTGCAAAAGTCCACTGTAACGTTGTACATAAACGGTCGATAGCCATTCAACTTCCTAAAGAGACTCAGGTTTAACTAGAAATTTAATTATTTTAAATTTAGACTTTAATATGTGTTGTATTTCCTTACAAGAACTTCATTTAGTGGCAACTGTTTAATTTTGGCATAAACAAATATTCCAATTTTGCCACGACCCAGAACTTTCAGTTCACATTGAGGGAATTCGCAGAATGACTTATCATAGCAGTTGCACTTAATATTTGTGACTTTGAATAAGGAATCCGAACTTTCAATTAGGGATATAAATATTAAAAAGGCCACTCCAAACACCTTCATTGTGTAGGAATCTGTTTATGACTGAATATTTTGGAACTGGGAACAGTAAAAATCTGATTGTAATAAATGGGAAAATAATTGTTTGTTTATTCAAAAGTTTAAACTATTAAAATCAAATCAAAATTATTGAGAAATTACAACACTATCACCGATCTAAAAGCGAGAAGGAAACTAATAAAATAATACAATATTTACACATGATTTTAATAATAATAAAAACAAAGTTTCTTTTTGTTTTTGTTGGCTCAAATATTTCGTAATGAAGGGTTTCTATTTCTTAAACAAATAATTTACATACACATATCCAATTATTTATGAAGTTTTGATTTAAATTGTCTTAAATTTGAACCTAATTAAACCTAATTCCTTCTTTTATTAAATCTTAAAACTATTTAATTTTTCCTCTTTTTCATCCATTCCTCCTCAACAATATCCACCATAACCTGAGCTGTGCCCATCCAACTAGGAGTTCCTGCAATTAATTGCATCATATAGGATCCAGTTGGAAAGGGAGTCTTCTCCAGCATTTTATCATCCAAGACCATGTTTGCAACTATCAAATCATGCTGAAACATATCACATTTTAATAATAAATATATGTTTTTCTTTTAGTAAATACATACGTTGTAGGGGCAGGTGTGATTAATGTTACTATATGTACTAATAACCGAATGAATTATATTAATCCAAGGAAAGCGTTTTCGATGTCTCATATAGCTGCAGAAATCCACTGTAACATTGTACATAAACGGCCGATAGCCATTAAACTTTCTAAACAGACTCACGTTTACCTAAAAATGTATTAATTAAAATTAAGATTTTCTCTAAATTTAGAATATCTCACAAGAACTTCCGTTATGGGTAACTGATTGAGTTTCACATAAATAAATATTCCAACTTTGCCACGACCCAGCACTTTCAGTTCGCATTGAGGAAATTCGCAGAAAGCCTTATCATAGCAGTGGCACTTAATGTTTGTGACTTTGAATAAGGAATCAGAGTTCTCAATTAACAACATAAATATTAAAATGGAAAATCTAAGCAGCTTCATTGTGCAACTATTAGTTTATGACTGCCCATTTAGAACTAGAGGAAAGTTCTGTTATTGAAATAAATGGACAAATAATTATTCATTTATTTCACTATTAAAATCAAATCATCTAATGCTGCAATTGGTTCACAAACATCAGATATTTTAGAAAATTTATTAATATTTGGCCTAATTGAAAACACATGTTTTGTTAGCTTGTTTATTTTTTAAACTAATTAAATATATAAATAACAAATACAGTATTAAAGTTAAAATTATATTAGTAATGTTTAAAGATAGAATACTACAAATACTACAAAAAATCTTATAAAATACTATTTTCTTGGCACTATTTTAGCCAAAAGTTTAATCCTTCAGCTTAGTTCATAGCTATGTCCATCACTTCTCAACGAAATCCTCTCCTGTTTGGTAAACTGGCTGAAGTCGCTGCGGATACTTACGCAAATAGTTGGCAAAATGCTGAGCATATTTGGCCTCATAATCCCGACTCCGCCCTCTCGGCCTCCAGGGCTGGGCGGGCTCAAAGTAGTTACCACCACCGCTGTTGGGGTAGACATTCTGGTAGTTGTTTGTGGCCAGTGAGCGACTGCCGCCGATTTGGACCACTTGCTCCTCCTCGCGACGGGAGTCGCTGGAATCCAGCTCAGAACTGGCCGGGAGATATGGTTGCCGCTGCTGTGGTTGTTGGTAGTAGAAGTACCCTGGCACATTGTAGTAATTGTGATTGGGGGCCCGGGTAGTAGGCCATTCTGCCCGTTCCTCTCGCCTCCAGTTGGGATAGGGGCGTCTGAAGGTTTCTCCATCATAGTACTCATTGAAGCCGGAAAAGGGCTGCCGTGCCTGGTGTTCCTGGGCCCCAAAGTCCCCATTGTCATTGACTATAATCGGGGCACTAGACCATATAGACTGCACTTCTCCGGGCTGATACGTTGCATAATCATTGCCATTAGGTGATGCATACTGGGCTCTGCCACAAGCTGCCTCCATCATCATCAGCAGAATCAATCCAGCCAGGTGCTACAATCATCAATAGAGATTAATCATCTCAGGTGTTGGAGATGAAAACAACCCATGAAAAATCTCACCCAGCTAACGATCCGTCCTGTTCGCGGTTCCATTTCAGACTGTCGAGAACGATTTATGCTAATAACGTATTTATATAAGGTTTTGCAACCGACCCGCTCGCTCGCTATATAGTATAGTCGGGCGGTGCATGATGATGTTTGCTTCCAGCAACGCCTCTGTCAAGGTGACTGGATGAGCAACCATGTACCTGAGCTGCCACTGGCTGGCTCGTGGCGGCAAAGCTCTGAAGTTATTTTCTCACGCACGTTTTCGATGCAGCCCTGACAGTTTCAGTTAAGTACGACGATGTGGCTGCTTTGGGCCTGGCTCTAAGTGGTAAACAGACTTGCAGCCGGACGGACAGGCGGCAGGCAAATTGCGGTGTCACGTACCGGGTAATTAGTAATTAGATTTTCAAGTCAAACGTACATAATTAAAGGCAATCTTCAGAGTGTTGAAAAGCAACTGAAAATATTTTTTGTTTTTTAAAAAAACCTAAAATATTTATTTAATAAATCTAAAAAAAATTAGATTTTTTTTTTTGCTTAAGATTTTTAAAGATATCATAAATTTGGTCGCATGTGGAGAACGAAGAAGGATCCATCCCGGGGAACAGGAAGTCGTTTCATATACTCCCCTCGATCGTAAGAGTTGGAAAATAATTGTTTCAAGGAGGAGTGTCTGTCCTGGGCTCTTTTGCTGGAACATAGACGACAGCTACTTTCTTTGCTGACATTCTAAAGGAGAAAGAAATAGTATTTTTAGTTAAACTAGCTAGTTAGTATTACTTACTAGCTTCTTTTTTATGGCCATGAAGTTCTCGGGCGGCGGCGGTTGACTGAAGGGTTCGAATTCGAAAACATCGTTTTTGACGCACTTGGCCAGGTGGGCGGCTATGATGTTCCTGGCCTTGGCATCATTCGGTGATTGGGGCGGGGATCGCAGCTTGGTGATCCACATGGTGGCCATTACCTTGGCCCGAAGCTCCAGCGGGCACACTGCACGCTCGAGGATCTTGAGGTTACGTTCGAGTTCCTCATCGAGTTCATCGGATGTTTTGGCCAACTTTTGGTGATCTTGATCCCTGGATTCCAGTTTGCGTCGCTGCTCCTCCTCCTTCTTGCGTTCCTGCTCCTCGTGTCTCCTTCGATGTTCTAGCTTTTGGGCTTCACTCATGTGTTCCTTCTCCGGCTTTCTTTTTTTATCTTCACGCGGAGGAGTCCTTTGGGGACTCTGACTCCTGTCCCTACACCATCGGCCGGAGCGGATCAACATTGTGTGAAGCTTAATGGTTTTTTTTTTTTTTTTTTTAATTTAAAATATTTTTGAAACAAGCCACAATTTTGAAAGGTGTTAGATCATTTTTGAAGTGTTTAGCAAAGAAAAATTATTAAAATTTAACATATATCCGACTTGGCTTTATTGAAATTTAAAATTTGGTTTTTGGTTGAAAAAATAAAACCTAATTGGGACTCATGTGCAGGATGAAGAAGGCTCCATCACGTGGCACAGGAAGTTGGCTTAGAAACTCCCCGCCATCATAGCAGCTGGAGAATAATTGGGACAAGTGTGGCTGTGGATCCTTTTTGGCATTTAGGGAGATGGCCCGACAAGGGCTTTCCCGCGTCAGATGCTATAAGCGATTAAGGATAATAGTTAGATTGGTAATCAAGGATGCAAAGTACTTCCTACCATTTTATTTCGTAGAGTAACCAAGTCCAGCGGCGGAGGAGCCCGGTTAAAGGGTTCCATCTCGAAGACACCTTCCCCACTGCACTTGGTCAAGTGGGCAGCTATGATATTCCGGGATCGGGCCTCGTCTGCGTTGTGAGGCTTCTCCCGGAGCTTAACTTTCCACATGGTGGCCATCGTTTTGGCACGAATGCTCAGATTGCAGAGCTTCTGATCAAACTTGACCATTTCCTGCTCGAACTCCAGGTCGAGTCTCTCCATTTCGCCGGGGGTTTCGCCAAAGGAGGCCTGCATATGGGAGGTATCGCCTTGCTTCTCCCGCTTCCGTTCCCGCTTGTCTCTGTTCCGGAATTCCTGCTCCCGCTGACGCTCATGGTCCTTTTCGAGTTTCTTTTGTTCCTGTCTCTTGCGTTCCAGCTCTTGTTCCCTTTTACGATCTTGGTTCTTCTGCTCCTTGCGCTGGTTGGGCTCCTTTGGACAGTTTGACTTCCCAGCACTGGTCCTGCTCCTGTCTTCAGACATATTTTTGAACAATCTTTGAACAAAAATTTTACTCTTTTCTTGGCTCATATTGACGGATTTCTCAAACTTGATTGATTTTTTAAAAATATTCAAAATTATTCATTTATTTCAGATGAAAACCCCCGCCATACAGAACGACTTCAGTTACTACAGACGCATCGTAAGCCGACAACGTCTGGACTCTACGGAGAACATGCTGGTCAGCACGGAGCTGGCCAACCGGATGTCCCTCTTCTACGCCCATGCCACGCCTATGCTCAAGGTACTGAGCGAGGCCACCTCAAAGTTTGTCAATGATAATGCCGATGATGTCCAGAACACGACAGAGACACTCGGCACCATGGCCAAGGTGTGCCTGAGGATGCTCGAGAATCCGTAAGATACAAAGATTAAATATCTCAAGACCTCAACTAATTCCAAAAATAATTTTCCAGAAAACTGCTGCAGCAGATTGAGCGGGAGGACACGAAAATGCTGGTGCTCCGTGTGATGGTGGGCCTGGTGATCCTCTACGATCATGTCCATCCGGAGGGGGCCTTCGTCCGGGGCGCCCATGTGGATGTGAAGGGATGTGTGCGGCTGTTGCAGGCGCAGCCAGCCATCAAGGCGGAGCCCCTGCTCAACGCCCTGCGGTACACGACAAAGCATCTGAACGAGGAGAACACGCCGAAGAACATACTCCGCATGCTGGCCGCATAATATCGGATAATATTATGGGAGAGATTGAGGAGAGAATCGAGAGAAGATAATTCATTAACGTTAATTTTATGTGTATGCGTATCGATTTAAATGGTTTTATTTTATTTATGTAATTAGTAGGCCTCTGTATTATTTGTAAAGATTGTGAACGCGAGTGTGTTGTGTGCTGGGAGACGGAGGCAGCCTCTAGTTTTATTTTTAAACCCTGTGTGCATTTCCAGAAATTTTTTTTTCGTTTATGGTTTTAGGCTCCAGCCTTCAGCGATAATGAAAATGATCAAAGTCGATGAACCGATTTGGAATGCATATATCAGCAGCAGCATCAGCAACAATATTTAGTTGATAATCTAGCCCTAATGTTAAGCAATGAAGAGGAGAACCCTATTAACCTAACAACAAATTAGCGCAAAGTTGAGTCGATGGGAGAGATATGAGAGATAAATCCTAAAAAATTCACTAATGCAGAGATTATAAATATAAAGCAACAATTTTAAATCAAATTTAGAGTATTTTTTGTACATGACCCCCGAGGTGTTGGCGACGACGTATTGTGACTGTAGAACAAAGTGTAAAGATCTAAATAATGCATAAATTAATTGATAAAAAATTAAAAAAAAACAAACGAATTGTACGAATTAAAAGCCTACACACACAACTGAACCACAAGCAGAAAGCGGATGCATTTATAAAAGATATACATATATAGATATATATTTCCACGCCGTCAACTTTGATAAACGTATTTAAATAACAAAATCTACAAAATAAATTTGAGCTGCGCAATAATAGTAATTTTTAAGATTTACAAAATAGACATAAAATAAAAGAAAGGCAAAACTTAACGCATACAATTTGTACCAAAAAATTGAAAATTATAAAATAAAAAAAACATGCCGATCACACAAAATAAATAAAGAATTATATATTCGATGAAAATGATAAAGAAAGTGAAGAAAAGAAACTATAGAGAATGCTGAATCAAAATAAATATCACGCAAAGTCAAAAATAATTGTTGTTTTTCATTAAGGATACTAATAGATTCTATCTGATAGACCCTTTCCCAAAACCCCTTTTCTGTTTCAAAACTATATCTTTTACATTTTTCAAAATTGCTTCTTTATTATGATTTAAAGGCGTTGAATATTATGGAAGGAGGTGTTCTAACGCCTTTGGTGTCCTTTTGCTTAACCGCAGCAGGCGACATCATCGTGCTTGGGCGGAGTCTTGTCGTCGGCGGAGAACGGCAGGCTGCGCACAACCTGATGATGGCGGGAGTGGTCGTCCTTGGCCTTATCATTGGTCATGGGAGTGGCTGAAAAGGTTGGAATACCAGTTAGTTACTGATTTAGTTACTACACTGATCTTTGCTTGCCAGCAGCCATGAAGATGGCAATGCTCAGGATGAGAGTGCACAGGAACAGGAAATTCATGGTTAGGCTGAGTTGTTTTGCAGATCGCTGGGTTGCTTCTGATGCCTTCTGAAGCTGCAAGCTTCCCTATTTATACAGAAAGTAAGTCCTAAACTTGGATATTAATCGCCAGAAAGAAAAACACCTGTCGTTGCACAATCGCCAGGCAACTCATTAACTATTAAATAATTAAGTTTTCAAATGTTGCTTGTTGTATTTGGCAGCGATGGGTAACGCCATAACGAAACACATTAAATCTTAACAATTTTTTTTTGTTCTCATTTTCGTTTTGTACAATGGAGCTTCTATAATTAATAAGTAAAAGAGTGAAAGGGGGAGGGGGCACATTCAATAATTTCGTTTACAAATCTAGGGTGTCCGGTATAACATAATATAGTTAGTGGGGGGGCGAAAAGAAATTAACTAATTGATTGTCATTGGAAGCGAGAGGCTTATGTGCTGTTGTTATTGCTTTGGCGTGGCTTTAGTATCAGCTTCCCCGTGTCATCGCAGCTCATGTTGAAGTCCCCGAGGACGGTGCGCGTTCGGGATGTGATGATTTGTGGCGCTATCACCAGTTTTTGAATGCCCAGGATGAAGAGCACAACTGAAAATAGATATAACATTAGTTTTGAAAAGGTTCTAACATAAAGTTTCATAAATTAAACATCATTTTCTTTAGAAAACCGAGGAAAAAAACTAGATTTTAAATTAAATAAGTTATTTTCGTAAAAACCTAAAGGAAATCATACAAAAAATTGGCCGTGGCTAATGATATTTGTGTTATATGACGTTAAATCCACAAAAAGAGATTTACTGACAATCTATCATTAATTATAAAGAACCTTTAGACTGTTATTATCTCAGGAAACAGTTTAAAGCTATTTTAAGTTGTTGAACTTGTAGAAATGCTACAGAAATCTATATTTTATCCTCCATATTATGTACACACAAATATTAAACACCTATACTATAGTTTTTTATGCATGTCACCATTGTACAGCATGTTTTCCAAACGAATCTTACTCAGAGTCAGTGTGGCGATTGTGAACACGGGATGAATCCAGAGGGATTCCGTTAGCGGGACAGTGACAGTGCGCGGATCTCGTAGCCAGTACCAGGCGCTAATGGCTGTGCACATGGACATGGCGGATAGGACAACTAAAAGAGATGCTATTATTATTTATTAATTGGTTGTGCCGGCCAGTCATCCGGTCCTATACTTACTGCGCCAGCGGAAAGTAGATGGCCGGTATGATGAAACCACTTCGGTGAGGCGCCGCTCAAAGGCCTTAAGATCTGCAAGAGATAGAGCAATTATGATAACAAATTTTGGTTATTGGTGGGTTCTCTTAGGTGGTAAACATAGTCAGTCACTGCCGGATATTCGGATTTAAGCGGATGACTTGCCTTCGCAAGCAGATGGTTCCATTGCAGCTATTTCCTCAATGCTCGTGGCGGCTTTTATATGTTTAAATTTGTCCAGCTTATATAGTTTTTGATTATTGACAAGATTTTGATGGGATTTTCATATTTTTCCTGTTTTTATGTTGTTGATGATTTTTCCCGTTTGACAACACTGCGGCAGGTGTAGTTGTTAGCCAACACTAAATGTCATGGGCGCAGTCATGGGTAACTAGATATTTGGTTTTAAAATTCTTTTATTTTTTAGAAAAGGGAACGTTTAATTAAAAAAATGGAAAGAATAAATTGAAAAATCTATTTAGATTATTGTTTTTAAGAACATTTTAGTGCTGTTACTAATTCGCGTATTTAGGGTCTTCTAATGTTTATGGTACGGTCACACTACAGCAGCTGGTTGTAAAAAAGGCGGTCGCGAAGAAAAGTCCGAAAAACCATTGATATTTGGTTTAAATGCGGATAATTAATTATATTTAAACATAAAAATGAGTAATACAAAGGTGCCCCCTGAATGGAAGAGGCGAGTCAAATCCGAGTACATTAAAATAAGGCAGCAAAAGCGTTACAAACGTGCCGACGAAATAAAGGAGGCTTGGATAAAGAATTGGTAAGCGCGGGAATGAGGTGTCTGGAACGAAAATGTCTTAGAAAATATATTTTCCAGGGATGAGCACAACCATAATGTTCAGGACCTTTATTGTGAGTCGAAGGTATGGCAGGCAAAGCCTTACGATCCCCCGCATGTGGACTGTGTGAAGCGGGCGGAGGTGACCAGCTACAATGGCATTCCCAGTGGCCCCCAAAGGGTGCCCATTTGCGTGATAAACGCCGTGACACCCATCCCCACCATGTACACCTGGGCTCCCACTCAGCAGAACTTTATGGTCGAGGATGAAACAGTTCTTCATAATATTCCCTACATGGGGGATGAGGTCCTCGACAAGGATGGAAAATTCATTGAGGAGCTCATAAAGAACTACGATGGCAAGGTGCACGGCGACAAGGATCCCTCGTTTATGGACGATGCCATCTTTGTGGAGCTGGTTCATGCACTGATGCGTTCGCACAGCAAGGAGTTGGAGGAATCTAGCCCAGGACCTTCAGTGAAAGCCGAAAATCCTGTGAAACAAAATGAATCTGAAGATGAGGAGGTGGATGTTGAAGCTGCGTCGCCCAAACGTGCGGAGAAAAAAGCGGAGGTGGTTGAGGTGGAGAAAAAAACGAAGGAAGAATCACAGGCGGAAGAAGGGGCAGATGTGAAACCAGCTCCTGCAGAGGAGGTCAAGGACAAGTTACCCTTTCCAGCACCAATTATATTCCAGGCCATTAGCGCCAACTTTCCAGATAAGGGCACAGCGCAGGAGCTTAAAGAAAAGTATTTAAAAATTTTATAAAAAAAGAGAAATAATATTATACAAGGGTTTTTATCTTTAAGGTACATTGAGCTGACAGAGCATCAGGATCCAGAGCGTCCGCAAGAATGTACTCCAAACATAGATGGCACCAAGGCCGAGAGCGTTTCCCGGGAAAGGACGATGCACTCCTTCCACACTCTCTTCTGTCGTCGTTGCTTCAAATATGATTGCTTCCTGCACCGTAAGTGTAATCCTGGGAGTCCTCTTCCAGCTGGGTTACTTACCTAATAACTTTACGTTTTGTTTTTGCTTTTCTTTTCTTGTTTTGGAAATCAAAATATTCTTGCCAAAAAAAAAACAAATTCTTTAAACTATTTAAAAAATACCCAAAAATATATTTGTATTGAATTGCAATTTAGGTCACCATGTGCAGGGTGAGTCGTTGTTGTAGTTGTTGTTCCGATAACCACATGCACACACACTCATGCCGTTAGCCCGTCCATGCCTTCGCCTTCGCCCTCGCCCTCGCCTCTGCATCCACGCATACTCATCTTGCTGTTGATATGATATAAGCATACCCATTTCTGTGGATAATTGGCTTCCGTGTCTTGTATCTAAATTTCGATTTATTTTCGGTGTACACTCACCTCATTATGCGTGGCTTTATCTGTACCATTTCGGGCAAAGTTTTATTTACGATTAAGCAGCCAAAGAAATATTTAAAAATAATAGTTATCACCTTTAGGACTTTAAACTTTTCTTCATGAGAAGTATCTTCTTAGAGCTGCTTCCTCGTAGGTAAACAAGTCCCCATTTATATTATATATATCTTGATAAATAACAGACTTCTCTCATGCTAACCCAAACGCGTTTCATGGACATTTGTCAAGTACTGCTTTAAACCAGAATCCTGCTAATCCTCATCATATTTTTCCACAGGTTTGCAAGGACATGCAGGCCCTAATCTACAGAAACGTCGCTACCCGGAACTGAAAACCTTTGCTGATCCTTGTGGAAACTCATGCTACATGTTGATTGTAAGATGAGGGGTTGTTTTTAGTGAAAAATATTAATAATTTATATTTTTAAAAGGATGGCATGAAGGAAAAACTGGCAGCCGACAGCAAAACTCCGCCTATAGATTCCTGCAATGAAGCCAGTTCGGAGGACAGTAACGATAGCAACAGTCAGTTCAGTAACAAGGACTTTAATCCCGAGAACAACAAGGATAATGGTCTGACTGTAAACAGTGCTGCCGTGGCTGAGATAAACTCCATCATGGGTGAGTTGAAGAAACCTTTTCATAAAGATCCCACCATAATCCTTTATCTTCATCTTCCAGCTGGCATGATGAACACCACCAGCAGTCAGTGCGTTTGGACTGGAGCCGATCAGGCCTTGTTCCGGGTCCTTCACAAAGTCTACTTGAAGAACTACTGTGCCATTGCACACAATATGCTTACTAAGACCTGCCGCCAAGTCTACGAGTTTGCCCAGAAAGAGGAAGCCGAGTTCAGTTTCGAGGATCTACGCCAGGACTTTACTCCGCCAAGGAAGAAGAAGAAGAAGCAACGTCTATGGTCTCTGCACTGCCGGAAGATTCAACTGAAGAAAGACCAGTCCTCAAATCACGTGTACAACTACACGCCCTGCGACCATGCAGGTCCTTGTGACATGAACTGCTCCTGCATCCAGACGCAGAACTTTTGCGAGAAGTTCTGTAATTGCAGCAGCGATTGCCAAAACCGTTTCCCAGGGTGTCGCTGCAAGGCTCAGTGCAACACGAAGCAGTGTCCTTGCTATCTGGCGGTGCGTGAATGTGATCCGGATCTGTGCCAGGCGTGCGGAGCGGATCAGTTCAAGCTACAGAAGATCACGTGCAAGAATGTGTGCGTGCAGCGGGGACTGCGTAAGAAATGCCTTACTAATATAATGACAAGATTAGGAATATGAAATTATCTTATTTTTAGATAAACACCTGTTGATGGCACCCTCGGACATTGCTGGCTGGGGAATCTTCCTGAAGGAAGGCGCTCAGAAGAACGAGTTCATCTCCGAGTACTGCGGGGAGATCATCTCCCAAGATGAAGCCGATCGTCGTGGCAAAGTGTATGACAAGTACATGTGCTCCTTCCTCTTCAATCTGAACAACGATTTCGTGGTGGATGCCACCAGGAAAGGCAATAAGATTAGATTCGCCAATCATTCAATCAATCCCAATTGCTATGCCAAGGTGATGATGGTCACCGGTGACCATCGAATCGGCATCTTTGCCAAGCGAGCCATCCAGCCCGGCGAGGAGCTCTTCTTTGACTACAGATACGGACCCACAGAGCAGCTCAAATTTGTGGGCATTGAGCGCGAAATGGAAATTGTTTGATTTGACACCAATTATAAAAAACATTTAATAAAACTATACATATATTTTAAAAAAAGACACTTAAACGGTCTTGGCCACATTGGCTATAATGGGTTTCGGTCGAGACTTGAAGATTAATTTTTTGGTGCAAATGGCGCGGACGGTGTACTCGGTTCGCTGTCGACTCTTGTGCTCCTGGGCAATCGTGTGATCCAGCACAGTGCGTTCAGCTCCCGAGGTGGCATTCAGCTGGGTCATGGTCATGTCCTGAGTGGCAATACTGGTGTCCAGCAGACGTTCGCCTTCATTTGTTTTTGATTTTTCCAGAACGGCGAAGGGTTTCTCCAGCTTCTGCTCGCGACCCTGTAGGATGTGGTGGCCAATGATCAGAATCTGAAAGATATATTTATTATTACAAGTCTAAGGGGTCTAATAATCCGAAGATAACTCACAGGCTGCCCATATTTGTTGTAGTAGAGATCCCCAATGAACTGATCATGCATATCTTGATTGCTTCTGACTTCCAGATCACCTTGCAGTTCAATTATGGCCCAATCGCCTTTGCCGGAACTTTGTCTGAAATATGTATATATTTATAAAGTTAGTTATAAGTGTTATTATGTAACTAAACTATAAATAAGTAAAAACAAACAAATGCTAATATTTCTCATAAGAATTTTATTCAGGCTTCACAGCAGTTTTACAAAAACCTTACATCTAACCCCTAAACTTTTTGAATAGAGGATGCACACTGCCAACGTTCTTGCGGCGATGCTCGTAGTAGATGGCATCATCGCCGCCGGACATGGAACTGAGCCCGCCAGTTCGCTTGGTGGTGCCACCAGAGCCACCCGGACGATAGCCCGGCTCTCCAGGCAGTTTCTCATCCTCGCAATCCAAATCGGAGGCAGAGAGCACTAGTTGGAGCAGCTGGGCCTGCTCTTCTTGGGTGCCGTACATCAGATCATTGTCGGTATCCATGCCCTTGAGGTGGGTGATCACTTTGTAGCTATAGCCCTGGTTCACCAGAAACCGCTGACGCTTGCGAGAGTAGCTCATCTCCATGGTGTCCTGCGATACCAAAGTGTAGAAGAAGGCATTGTACTCCTCGGCAATGGCGCCCTTCTTGGCGCGAAGAATACGACCCAAACGCTGGGCCTCCTGACGTCGGGAGCCACCATGCGAGGAGATCTGGATGAGCACGTTGGCTTCGGGCAAATCGAAACTGGTATCGGCCACTTTGGACACGAAAATGGTGTTCACCTGGAAGAAAGATTGTTAATATTATCCTCTGGATGTGACTCCCATAACCTACCTTAGAGTTGAATTTGAAATTTTGGAGAATCTGGATACGTTCATTCTGGGAAGTGGGTCCATAAATGAAGGGCTTGTTCATCTTGATAGCATAATGCTTGAGGGCGAAAACGTTATCAGAAAACACAATGGTTTTATCCCCACGCTGCTCGTGGTATTTGATAAGGAACTGACAGCTGCGGAATTTGGAGGGATTCATCACATAGAGAAGCATCTTCTTGGAGGTCTTGGTGGTCAGATACTCGCGGTAGAATTCTGGCGCCATTGGGCACCATACCTCCGCGCACTGCACTCTGGCAATGAAGCCCTTCTTCTGTAATTCCAACCAGTTGGCTTCGTATAGCTTCGGTCCGATCAGGAAATTGAGATCTGCGATCTTGTCATCCTCACGTAGCAGGGTAGCAGTCAATCCCAACTTGCAGTGCGATTGCACGATGGTTAACACGCGACGGAACATCTTGGCGGGAATGGTGTGCACTTCATCCAACACCATGATGCCCCATTCTTGCTCCTGCAGCCATCGCATCGTCTGCTCCGCCTCCCAAGATCTCTTCTGGGTGTGTGTGATCATGGAGTAGGTGGTCACAAGAATACCACATCCCATTGGTTTGTCTTTTGCCTCAGATGTGAATCTGCAGATCATGCTATCGTCGGCTGTGGACCACATTTTGAACTGCTGCTTCCACTGCTCCACGGACACACCGCTGTTGCATAACACCAGAGCCCTCTTGCGAACGGTACAGCATGCGGTTACTCCCACGAGAGATTTTCCAGCACCACAAGGCAACACAATAACCCCCGATCGGGCTCTTCCATTGCCGAACATCTTGCGCAGACTCTTCTCCTGATAGGGTCTCAGAACTGCAGCCGGCTTGAGGTCTATATTAATGTCCGGGTTGTTAGTGTCGTTACGAAAATCGTATTCTGCCAGCAACGGATGCTCGATTTCAATGCAGCGCTTCTGGATTACTTCGATTTTCTCCTGGGCCACTTCAAAAGAAACCGTCTTAAGGTTGGCTTCATCCTCGTCCTCTTCTTCTTTGTCAATCTTCTCGTAGAAGTCCGTGATATCCTCGGGCACCACAGTAGCGCCGTCGGCGCCTGAAGGGGCTGGTGCGTTTGGATCCTCTGGTGGCTTGTCGGCCCCACTAGACGGTGGTAGCTTAGTGCCAAACTGAGTGATGGCCTTGCCATCCATAGTGCCCTGAATAAATCCCTCCCCCTCGCTGCGAATGAGGCGACATTTCTGGATGACAGGATCTTTAAGAAGCTTTTGTAATACTTCCGGATGGGGAGACTCTATGAAGTACTTGTTGTGCTTGAGCACTAGCTTAACCTTTCCGTAGGATAAGGTACACAGCCGAATAAACTCTAGAATGCCCTCGGGAATGCTGGTTTTGCTCAGCCGTTTCAGGTATTCAATAATGTCATGAGTCTGCAGGCCCACCGACACAGCTGCATACAAACTGTATGCAGTCAGTTTGTACTCGTGGATATGTTCCGGGCGGCACACCGGCTCTGATATGGCAATTAGAAAATCGTGGGCGTGCTTGTAGACCGGCGAGAAGGACTCCAGGAAAACGTGGCCGTTGGGTGCCACCCAGAGCGGACGATTTCCGTGATCCTGGCGCAGTTGCATCTGTGCCCGGTAATCCTTGGCCCCATACTCGTCAGTATTTATCTGTTCATCGTTTGTCTCCGCGTTTTTGGACGCCGCTCCTGGAACTCCGTCCGATTCTGTAACATCTACGCTGTCGTTTGTCTCACTTTCATCCACAAGTTGGGCATAGGCCTCATCCTCACGCCGCTTTTTGGCTGCAAAATCGAGGCCATAGAGTTACAGTGTTATTCCACTGTTTTCCATTTTTCAGTCACTCACCGAACTTTTCGCCACCACTGCGATCCTTTTTGGACTTTTTTGGCGGCCCCATTTAAACAAAAACTTAAAAAATAATTATTAAGTCAGCTCCAAGTCAACTGTTTAGTCCAGTGTGACCAGGTGGAGTGCCAAATTACCGGGTGGGAGTTGCACCACGAAGCGAAATGAGCATGGGTCGGGTTTCTTTTAATTATCCTTATAAATATAAGCTTATGATATTTCCTGAGTTACTCACGTTTTTACCAATATGGGCATCTTGCTTTTAGGACAATTAAATCAATAGAATATCCGAAATTAAAATGTAAACAAACTAAAAAAAAGTCCCTCCAAAAACGTTCTGAAATGTACTACTGCGATACTAACGGTCTGTCTAAATCTGCTCTGTTATCAACATTATGTTAAATTTAAGTTTAGTGTTGGTAAGTGTTGAACCGCCAAAAATCCCCCTCAAAAATAAAGAAATTATTTAAAATGGTTTTTTCTGTAATTTTATTTTAAACATTAAAATATAATCCCGAGTGCTTTGATTTTAGGTTCATTTAGAGTATAAATCCATATATTTTGTTTAGAAATTATGACCACCGAAAAGAAGCGTTCCCCCAAAAAGAAGCCAGCATCAAAAAAGAGCACAAGCCATGACAAGAAAAAAAAGAATAAAAATAAAAAAAATTATTGCAAATTTATTTCTGATCAATTGCCAAAAATATGCTTTTTCATTGGTGTTTGCGATTTGGTGCATGCTTTGTACTTTACCATAAGTGCCATGATTCTTTTGGTTGAAAGTGTGAGTTTTTCCAAATAAAATTAATATTTAAAGCATTAAATTGTTCTTTTTTCCAACGAAATTATAGTTTAGTTTTTTTGCTGTATTGGCAGTTATAAGTGTATTTTTCTGGGTCGTGATTGTTATCACTTTGATCGTGGGCTTATGGAAGGTATGTAACTATATTATATTAGAAATAAAATGTATAAAATTGAACAAAAAAAATTATTTTTAGCGCAAGCCCGTTTTAATTAAATGTTGGCTATTATTTTCTATAGTTGGCTTTGGTATAGATATATTGTTCCTTATTTATGGCATTATGAGTTCCTTTACCATCGATTGGGATCGTCTTCAGGAGTTCTCCATAATCTTTATTGGAATATGTAAGTTTAAAATTAACTTTCATTCTATCGCAAATAATACATTTTGTATTTAATTTCAGTTATTGAAAGCATTTCCATTTATCTTGTATATTGGTACTATAAGATTGTGGCTGAGAAACCCACTAAAGCATGTTGTAAGATAACTCTTAAAATAATATAATTAAACTCTCAAATTGTACTTTTAATAGGTCATTGGTTCGATAAGAAACCTAAGCCCAAGAAAAGTAAGTCTGGTTCCAAAAAGAAGAAATCTAAAAAGTAATCTTGACTGCTTAAATATATTTTATAAAAAGATATCATTTTTGATAAAAATATTATATTAGTTGTTTAAATCTTGGCTTCTGAATGTTCCTAATCATAGGATTAAATAAATTATGTGATGCACAGATGTGTTCATGTGTGCTAACATGAAATACAAGAATTTAATAAAATATTATATGTTTCATGTAATTGGCTCATTTCAATTTACCGGACAAGTGGGAGAGCCAAAATATATTCCCTATTCCGCACAAACAATAATAATAATTGACTTAGGCAGTTTTCCATCTATTTTCCTTCGATGTCAGTAGCCAGTCAGTCACGTTGTCAACGGGGGGGTCCGAGGTTCAGAGATTTCAGGGAATCCGGGGGTCACGGGAACAGGGAACACGGGCAATCCAATCTCCAGAGCCTGCTGACAAAACAAATGCCATAAATGAAGAGCGGACAGATGGTCGCACAAACTTGTCACATCGTCGTTGGCGCTGGTCGGTGGGTAGGTGGGCCAGTGGGGGTCATATCACATTGGTATAGATTGGTTTTGGGATTCCATAAACCATTAGTTTTTTTGGGAAACAAGAATATAATTGCATTAGGGATAATATAGAAACAGTGACACCAAGATAAGCCAAGCTTCCAACTAAAAAAATACTGAAATTTATAAAAGTTGAATTATATATGAAATGTTTATGTTTCTTTGGGAAAAGCTAGAATCTATAAAGAAAATTCATTAATTTCGTTCTTAAAAAATCTTACAAATTTATCAAATTATAGATAATAAATTCGCATAGTTAAATATTAATAAAACAATTTATAATTTTATAAACCAGTCGCTAGGTGGCCCATGTTTTACCTTAAATTCTGAATGATATTCGATTGGTATTTAATTTTGGCTACCACTGTGCTTTGACTGGGACTTTTGGCAATCAAACGGCATTGATTAACAGGCATCCAAGAATACAGGCATCACACCCACTTCACCCCCCTGGAAAGTACGTGCTTATCATCATTATAGCTTTGATTTAGTAGACAACATTGCCAGTGCCGGCCCCAGCCCATTTCCAAACCCAGACCAAGTTCCAGTCCCAAAACTCCTACTATACTGGTTTGCTGTGTGATGAACTTTGGCCTGGGCCATGAAGTCGCACCCTGATGGTTATTTAGTGCCCTGCTCCTACTGCATCGGTCTGCTGGACTTGATATCCGCCCTGCTCTTTGCCATCATATCGGGTATTGTGTTCTCCAAGCATGTAAGCGGCATAATTCGGATTAATGAATAAATTCATATTAAATTTTAATATTCTCCAGGGCCACTGGACAGCTTTGGTGGCACTGATCTTCACCCTGTTCTGGATTTTCATAATTATCGTGCTACTACTGGGTGTCTACAAGCGAAAGCTGGGACTGGTTCGTTTTTGGTTGGTTTTCACCTGTCTGGGAATTATCATGGATGGGGTTATACTGCTCTATGGGTTGACTTTGGCCATATCGGTGAACTGGGATGGCGTAAAGATCACTGTACTGCCATTTGTGGGATTAGGTGGATATTCTATTATTTATTATGGCTATTACTTACGTATATTATCCCTATTTAGCTGTGGAGATGACATTTGTTTATATTGTATATCTCTTGTACCTGGATATGGTTGGCTTGGGTTCTCCACCTCCTCCAAACGAAGAGCATCCTCGCGTTGCGGGTGGCTGCGAGGTGGAGTTTGAAGATGAGGTGGAAAAGCCCATGGATCGCAAGGAGCTGAAACGTCTGGAGAAACTGGCCAAGGAACGCATGAAGAGGGACAAGGCCGTTCTCAAAGAGCTCCAAAAACAGAGGCGTAAAGGAATAGATTAAATTTTATATTAATATATTTTTAATTAAATCTATAATATTTTTTGCCATAAAAAGCATTGCTATTTTCTTCCGGCTAAGTGCTCTAAAAGCGCAGTTTCCTTTGGCTAAAACAAAAGCTCTTTAAGTTTTATCATATTAAGGACGTAGGATACCACACACACAACAACACACATACACCTATACAAACCACTCACACAGACGGGCGTTTGCCAATGTTAAACACAAAATCCTTTTAAAATAATTTGCGCAGCAGCAGTCAAGGAAAAATCAAGAAAAAGACACATTGCAGAAATGGGAAAGCTTGAATGCCCTAGAAGGAATAGAAAGTATATATTTTCAGAAACATAAAATTCAAAAATATAAAATATGTGTTCCATTGTCCTTTTAATATTCCGAAGAGGCAGCAGAAGATCGATTCAGTTTCAAAGGTTGCGTAGGGATATTGGCAATGGTTCGTCCTCCTAAAACTTTAGGGCCATTTGTAACTATTTTCCCCTTATGGCGCATCTTAGGTAATTGTTTTTTCTTGGCTTTCGCCTGCCTTTTATTAACCTTTTTCTTATCGCAAGGATCAACAAGTTTGGGCTTTTGACAGTTTTGACAAAATTCCATTGTCACATAAAAGCGGTAAATAATATACAAAAACATGCATTCAACAACTATTAAATAAACAAATTTTCAATGATTTATTATAAAAAATATTTACTAACTTACCCAAACCAGCAATAAGTAAGATGCCGTTTTTTAATAAACCAGTATTAAAAGAACTGTCGTTGAAAATTGCATAGACAATCAAACCCATTTCGAAGACAATGCCTATACAGCAGAATATAATCCAGTCTCGTACACATTGGGGCTTGCGCTGCAAGCTATATAGTTTTTAAAAGTGAAAGAATATTCAATAGAATTTAATGATACCCCATGAATGCCCACTAGAAGCATAAATATCATTGTAACCCAAAATAGGCCAAAAGTTACTGCAAAAATGCTTAGCCAACTGAGCTGTGGAATAATATTTTTATGTTTAAAATTCTAGGTTCTTAAATTAAAACTTAATTTCTTACCCGACTGCATATTGTCTTCAGGCTGATCAGAAAAAAGAATACAGCACTAACCAGATCAAAAATACCTATAGCATAGGCCCAAATTAGTAACCAATTTGCACTTTGAACCGTCATGGTTTTAGAAGAAATGTATAAAATACTGACTGTTGTAGCAAAGTATTAGAGATGATAAAATGTAGTAGTATAACACTTCCCTTAAAAAAAAACATATTTTTTAATATTTAAATTCATACGTTTCAAGGGTGCTCGACAGTTCTCAGACAGAGTATTTAAGCGGAAAGGGAAACAGGAGCGACAGTCTCGCAGCTACGGCTGTCGCATCTATTTATGCAGAGAAAAAAGTGAGACATCCAAGTTTATATATGCATATATTTATATATATTATATATGTATATAATGTCGGGTTGATGAAATACGTGCGGCTGAGGCACACACGCACACAACCATTACTCTTCTTCCTGTTGGGTGTGCGGAGATGGGGGAATCCCCCGTTGACAAATATAATTTACTTTTTTCGCGCTCATTTGCAACTCGGGCCAAGGAAGTACCAGCCCATCTCCTGGAGTCCCCTGGGGTGCGGCAAAAACCTTTTTAAACAGCTCTTCTCTCCCGTTTAAGTTTTTCCAACGAGCAACAGGAGCAACAGGGCGTATGATGAATGTCTGAAAAGGGTGGATCAAAATATGAAAAAAATACAGAAACTTTGAACACTTATGGTCTTTCTGAGAGAATCATCTTATTCTATAACATTGAAATTAAAGTACTTTTCAAAATTTGTCAGTACAAAAAAAAGGTTTATATCAATATAACTATGAAAAAAGACTAAAAGCCAGCTTAAAATGATGGATGCACTACATGCCTTTGGCCTGGCCATTGGCTGGATGGACATAGCGGGAGTCCTGGTTTTTGAAGCCCTAATGTTTTTTTTGATGCGACGTCGTCGCTTGACAGAGCCGGCAGATATAGAATCTGGAAAAGATCCCATAAAACCAAAACGAGGATCAATACCAAGTGAGAGTAACTAAAAATCAAGCTAATAAACCAACTAGCTAAAGTCCTTTTGAAGTCCTTATGAGCAGAGCCAAGCTAAGTAGTGCCGAAAACAACTGTATATTCTGGAGTTACTTGGCGATGCTGAATGTCTGGATTGTGGTCACTCTGGTCATGATCACAGGCATTTCTTTGGTTTGTTTATTGTCCAATTTGTATTATTGATTTATAAATTGTAAAACTTTTCTAAGCACAAGCCAGAATTGATGATAATTTGGCTGATTTGGTGCGGCTGTGGGTTGGCCTTTGATGTTCTTTTCATTTTCTGGTGGATCTATGAACTTTTTACAGGAGATGCCATCGAAGCTCTGACCAATATTATGATTTCCCTGCTTACCATGGGTGAGAATTTAAAATTTTGATTTCTTTGTATAAATATTTTATTTGTTTCCTTATAGCTATAGAATTTGGTTTCATTTGTGTCATTTATACCATATACCGCGACCTGTTAACCTCTTCAGATCAACGTAAAACGGAACGAGCAAAAAATATGTATTTTCTAATATGATGATTTAAATCGTACACTTTTTAAATGTTTTTACTTATTGGGGTATATATTAGTATGAAAACAAAAAGCATAATTTGTAATAAATTATATAATGGAAAAGTTCTTATTTCGTCTTCTTGTTTATTTTTCTGCCATATTGCGGCTTTTCAGTTTCCTATTTGTTTGCAACTTTGTGGAGAAATCTCATTAACCTCGCAACTTCCCCGGGTCATAGGTCATCGTTCATGCAAAGACTGCAGCATCTTGTGTTTTCTCGTATTACTTTATTTCATCTTGGTTCCATGAAGTGCTTTGTAGTTTTTAATGGTCTGCCAGCACGGAAATTGATTCATTTCCGTTTTTTGTCCTTCGCTTCCGTTTGCGTCTTGGCCGCTTAAAGTCCTTGGCAGCTCGCTCCTTGCCGCTACCAGTTCGCAGTTCGCAACAGAAATCTTACTGAAAATCAAGTTGAATCTGTTTTGGCTCCTAATTCGGGATCTAATTCTATTTGTCGGGCTTTGGCTTGGAATAAACTGAAGGAGTGGATTGTCAACGAAGCCTGGACGTGAAGTGGGAGAATGGGGACCTGCCACTTGCAACACGATGCCAAAGTGAAAAGCAAAATATTTCTTCTTTATTAAACATAGCTCAGAGTCCGTTTTTTATATTTGCTTATTTTTTTTGTTGTTTTTCTGCTTTTGTCCTTTTCTTTATTTTGTGTATTTTTTTGCGGCAACGGTCGTCGTTCTCCAAGGAGCGACTGGCTGCTCAAATTTATTGTTTGCAAATTGAAATTCTTGTCGACACGCACGAGCAAATCCATTGGGAATGCACAGCACAGCTCAGCAGCTCGTCAGCGTCATAGTCAGCTCTTGGTGGCCCCGGACCGAGGACTCCGGACTCCAGACCACGGGCTCCGGACTCTAGAGTTTTAGACGGAATAAGGAGGAACGCCTGTCGGATTTGATGGCTTTTGTGCCCCGACAGCGCCACCAGCAGCACAGCTCATCATGGCTTTTTAGTATTTATTAAGACTCTGATGTGCCATGAAACAAATTTCGGAAAAATAAACAAATATTTCAGTGCGTTGGCTGCGTTGACAAAAACAGGAAGTGGGTATTGAAAAAAACAAATCAAAAAGCTTCCAAACTGTTTTCCCACAAAATCAACAACAATCCTAAGAAGATGAACTCTCCAGGTTTAAGTATTCTTCAAATTCATGTTTGGATGACCGTTTGAAAAATATAATTTTGAACAGGATTTTGGGGGACTACAGGAATAAGTGTTACATGGAAAAGGTGAGCATGGTAAGTATGATAAGGTAGTTATAGCTAGGTCATGTTTTATATAAGGTTTATGATTCCACAACATATTCTCACGTTCATGACGATCATCTGCGTTTTGTAAAGAAACAGGTTACCACTGTCCCCTAATTCTTGTAAACCTAAATACTAGTTCTTAGATCTCCGAATTCAGAGAATAAAATCACCGACTTTTCATATTGTGGTTCCCCATATTGCCCAAACAATGCTCTGGAAATTAAGAAGCCCCACGATAAGGATGTCTTCATACTAATTATGATATACTTACCATGTGTGTTGGCTGCTATTATTATGGTAGTTGTATTTCTGGATCCTCTCAAGCGTTATGGCGAGGGTCGCAAGGGTGCCAATAAAAATGAGATTTCGATCAAGAGCTACATCCTCGCCACATTCCATCAGATGCGACAACCCAACCAGCAATTCCTCATTCCACTTACCGTCTATATTGGCCTGGAGCAGGCTTGGATCGCCGCAGAATATACCCAGGCCTTTGTATCCTGTGCCTTGGGCGTAAATATGATTGGCTTTGTAATGATTAGTTGGGGAGTCTTTGACTCCATGTTCTGTTTGATTTTTGGCTGGATAATGAAGTACATGGGACGCTCGGCGATTGTATTCATCGGAGCTTCCGTTAACACCATGCTAATTGGCTTTAAGCTTTATTGGCGGCCTATACCGCAACACCCGATCGTGTTTTATGCCTTGGCCGGGATTTGGGGCATTGGCGATGCCGTTTGGGTCACCCAGATCAATGGTTTCTACGGCCTTCTCTTCCGGAGACACAAGGAGGCTGCCTTCTCCAATTATCGTCTCTTCGAGTCGATTGGCTTTGTCGTGGGTTTCACTTACTCCAGTTTTATATGCACCCGGGCGAAGCTATATATTATGTTACTTCTATTGGTTATCGGCTTGGTTGGATACCTGACAGTGGAGGTGATTTATCAAAATAGGGTAAGTGCATTATTTCATTCCGCAGGTGTTAATTGTGACAAGAGGTGGGATTACTGGAGCTATGGATTTTCGGAGTTAAGAAAACTAGCTGTTGCTATTGTTATTCAGCTTTTGGGACTACAAGGATAAAAGCAATGTTCACAAATTTTATTTTCAAAAATATGGTAAGTATTCTATAACTATTTATATAAAATAAGTTTATAAACTGTATTTATATTTACAGGATGAATACTTTTTAAAATGCCAATTTATTTTAAACGTTTTTAATGAATAAAATCCCTGCTGAGTCCTTTTAATCTTTCAAAGTTGTACTAGAATATTGAATAAAATATAATAAAAAATTCCAACCTGCCAACATAATCAATACAGTCGTTTAACTATTCAATACTTCACATATTTCTTTTTCAGTTAATGGTGGGAAAAGTCTAGGCAGGAAATTGATTGATTTCCGTAACGTGGAGGAAAAGAAAAGTGGGAAAAATATTGCCTTTGTGGTGGAACTTAGCTGTAGGGATTATCGTTTATGGTGGAAGGACTGCCAATTAGTGGTAGCAGGACAGAAGAGAGGGTTAGCTAGTAGCTACCTGCAACCGAATGTTTTCCCACACCAAACATAAACTGTGTGTGAGTGTGTGTGTGCGTGTCCTGCAGGAGTTTGAACATATAGTCCTTGTGGCAGCAAACATAAACATAGACAAAACATAGACGAGTCCTAGTACCATTACCCTCTGGCGCTGGGGGGGATTTTGGGTGAGGGGTTTTTGGCACAGTTTGGTTTAGTTGTCCTGCTTGAAATCAGAAGCCCCCCTATCCCGCCCCTTTGTTTGCATATCCTTGGCACGTGAGTGTAAGTTAAAAGCTAAAGCTGTGCTTGTTACATGCTCAATTAAGCTGGAAATGACGCCGCTGGAAGCTTAAGTCACGGTTTGTATAGTTTTGTGTTTGCACTAGAAGTTGCATTTGTCAGGATCGCTTCTGAATAAATACAGGGATGCTGGAGCTTAGGGTATTTTTAAATTTTTCTGGAATTCTATTAATATAAGGGAACTGCACTTAGTGGTTCCTCGAGGGCTTGCCGCACGCTACGAGCCCCACACATTTTCACTCCACTTCGTACCGCCTTAAGCAAATTATCGAGCACGCAAAATTGCTTTAGGAGAAGGCAGCGAATACAGCGAGCACAAAAGCTGCTGCCAATTAGCGCCGGCAGGATCCTCCATAATGTGCTTAGTCATGCCAGGACATTTACGGCGGCCAGGGGCCGAAGGGCATGCGGGTGTTGCAGGTGGTGCACGGTGACAGGACACGTGCCACACGTACTCATAGTCATTCG